CTCATGGTGCAAGATGACTAGTGTAGCTCCAACCGTCACATCTGTACATCAGCCAGGAGTGGAGCACAGTTTTACTACAGCCTTGGCTCCTACTGTATCACTCCATGTTACTCGGTGCTGTGTCGATTGTGTTGGGGTTGGTTACTCAGTCTAGGGGTTTGTAACCCACCCTGCAATCAGTTATTCCAGGGTCACGGAGGGGCGCTACCTGGAAGGGAATGAGCTAAGACAGAAGAAGGAGGACAAGCAGATTTGTCAAAGCCTCCGTTTATTAGGGTCATGGTTGCTGCTTATATAGGCCCTGCATGAGGACTTGGTGGGCAGGGCACGGGATGCGCGTGGTCCCGGTCACGTAGGCCAGGTTACATTCGGAGGGGTAATCCAGAAGTCACAAGTTGCCACACCTAGTTCCCTGGATAGCTGGAATGTGAGGCGGGTTCCCCTAACAGATAAGTTAATTGGGTGAGGGGCAGGTTTTCTCAATAGAACATAATTATGGGTGTGAGGTTCTCTGCAGACTCCCCAGGATGATGGTTCCTGTAATGATTGGGGGGAAATGGCTCCTGACAGTGCTGAGTACAAGATTTCCTTCAGGGTTAAAAAGATGCTAAAGAACTAGGGGAAACTGGGCACAGCTGCACAAGTCTATCCTTCTGGTACTCAGGAGGTGGAGACAAGGGGGAGCACAAGTTCAAGATCACAGCTTCCAACTTTTGCTACCTAAAGGGTATGAGGCCATCCTGGGCTACATGAGACCCTGTCAAACAAACAAGCCAGAAGCGCTGGCTGGATGGCTCAGCAGGTAAAGGGGCTTGCCACCAAAGCTAACCACTTAATGTTGATCTTGGAAAGCCGCATGATAAATGAAAACAGACCCCCAAAAGTTGTCTTCTGACCTCCATGTGTGTACTGGGCATATGCATGCCCCTGCCCTCAAAAAAGGTAACAAATATGAATTTTAAAAAAATAATGTAAGTTTCTTTTTTTAATTTTATTTTATGTGTATGAATTTTTTGCATGCATGTATGCATACATTCAGACATACATGTATGCATTCATGTAGATGCAGGTATATCTGTGAATCACCTGTGTGCCTGGTGCTCCCAAAGGCCGTAAGCAGAAGAGGGTGTCAGATCTTCAGGGAGAAGAGCTCTTAACCCCTGAGTCATCCATCCCTCATACCTCTAGAATAATGTTTTAAAGCAGAATTGGAGGGCCATAGCAATGAGGGGACGTTTGTCCCCAGCACCAAAGCCTCATGCCACCCAGTCTTGCCTCCAGTCTTCCCATGATCTCCCAGGATCTGGGCTGAGCTTCAGCTGGACAGAAGTGAATGAGGCCAGTGAGGACCCCCCCACACTCCCACCCCTGATCATGGAGGGCGCTAGGAGAGCGTGTTATTACCTTTGGTCTTTGGGGCAGTGTGACAGTCCTCAGGTTCAGTACAGCTCATAGCCTGGGGGAGGCGGCCCTGCTACATATGGTGGCTCTCAGGCTAGCGTAGTTCCTGACGGCCATCGCTGTCTTCTGATGGGACTGTGTAGCCAGGCCACCAAAGAGACCACAACCTGAGGCTTCTATTCGATAAGTTAGGCTCACCCTCCAATCTGAGGCTGGCAAGGGTGACTTTCCCCAGAATAAGCTCTCCCAGGAAAGCCAGAGACCAGGAGGAACAGAGAAGGGAGTTGGCAAGCCAGTGCCCATAGCTTCAGGTCAGGTTCTCTACAGAGCCTCTTAGGCCCATCAGGTAGAGGTCAGAAGTCATGTTCACACACACCACCCTCCCTCCAGGCAGACGGAATTTCCCAAAGCACAAGCAAGCCTTGGAGTCCTGTGCCAACCCACTCTTCCACGTGGAGACTATGAGCATTCTGTTGAGAGTGAGCCAGGGCACTGCTTATGAAATTAGGCAGCTGCCACTCTGATGTCTGACTCCAGCTGCCTATCAGTGAGACTGCTTCTCCCTGGAGTTGCTGGGACATCATCCCCTTTGAATGTACCTCCTAGCTGTGAGGAGGCACAAACTGACCAAGTGGGAGAGTAGGTGGACTGACCCCCAAGCAAAGCACTGAATTTGTGGGCCTTTGTTGGCATGATGAGCAAATCCTCCATCTCTGTGCCTCCATTTTTTCCCCCTGCAAAACAGGCACAACACAGTCACTCCCTTAGGGTGTCCTTTAGAGAACCAAGTCAAGAAACACTTGCCCAGCTGTAGATGGAGGCTGACTGTTGTTTCCTGGCTGCGCAGACCCAAAATAATCACACAGAAACTGTATTAATTAAAACGCTGCTCGGCCTACTAGCTCGGGCTTCTTATTAACTAGCTCTTGCATCTTGAATTAACCCATTTCTATCATTTTGTATTTTGCCATGAGGCTCGTGGTTTGCCGGCATAGCGCATAGACATCTTTCTCCTCCAGTACATGGCTTCTCTCTAACTCTAAATTCTTTCCTCTGCTTAGAATTCCTGCCTTGCTCTATTCTGCTAAGCCACTGACCAAAACACACCTACAGAAAGACTTCCCACACCACCCAGCAGGGCACCTTTAATCCTAGCACTCTAGAAGCAGAGGCAGGCAGTCCTCTGTGAGTTCAAGGTCAACCTGGTCTACAGAGTGAGTTCTAGAAAAGCCAGGACTGTAACACAGAAATCCTGTCTCAAAAAAAAAATTAAAATAAAATAAATCAAAGAAGAACCAGCCTAGCCTTCTTGCAGGTGGCCCCTGCAAAGCTACCACGAGTTTTTGTTTTGTGTTGTGGGAGGATTTTTGAGCTAAATGCACCAAGAAGCTTGAAGGTTTGCTCACACCAGCATGAACATGACACCCAGCAGGGGGCAGCAGACAGACCAAAAGGACCACAATGAAAAGAGCAGACTCTGCTGGTCAGAAGAGGTGAGATCCAAATACCATGCAGAGCTGGGAAGGCATCTCCTTCAGAGAAGTCATCTGGTGGGGTCACCGAGATGATGACCACGTCACACTGCCTGGTAGGTGACAGACAGAGAATCCGGTTCAATCACCCATCCTCCCAGCTAATGATGAAAATCATCTTCAGTGCCATCTACCATGGTTCTGACTTGAAAGTTTAGGGGCAAGCATCCCCTAATCAGGAAACCCCAGATCCACAATGCACTAAGATCAAAGGTAGCCATGGGGGTGCACACTTCTGTGATTCCATACTCCAGAATTGGCTGAGGCAGGAGGATGCAGGGTTTCAGGCCAACTTGTCTTTAAAAAAAATGTGGAGGGGGGAAAGCTGGATGATGGCTCTGTGTGTAAAATGTTCTCACACGTGCATGAGGACCTGCGTTCTGATCCCAGGCCTCATCTGTAATCCTAGAGCTCCAACAGAGACAGACACCCAGGGCAGACGAGCCTGGTGTGCTGTATGGGCAGCAAACAAGAAAAAGATCCTACCTCAAACAGGGTGGAAGGCAATGCCGTCTGTCCTACATACACACATGAACACACACACACATACACGCACACACACCCTCCACATACATGTAGACACACACATGAACACACACATACATGCACACACACTCTCCACATACATGTAGACACACACACAAAGTAAATAAATAACTTTAAACAACAACAGAAACCCCATATGATTCTAATCAGAACTGGTTTGAGTGCTGAGAAGATGTGGCAAGCAGAAATTCTGCATCATGAAACTGTGACACACACAAAATTATCAACAACACTGTTCTACATTACTTTTAGGCCATGTGTGTTAAGGGGTATAGGCCAGAGAGGTACGTTTCTCCTTAGACTTGCATCTCACTATTTGCATGCAAATATACTAAAATCTGGGGGGGATGGAGAGGGAGGGAGGGAGGGAGGGAGAGAGAGAGAGAGAGAGAGAGAGAGAGAGAGAGAGAAAAACACAAACACATCTAGTTCTGAGCATTTCAGATGTTGCATGCACTTCTCACCCCCACCCCCCCAGTGGAAGTTCAGGCATGGAAGTGAAGGCAGGACTTCTTCCCCTCTCCAACTTGCACCCAGGATTCCTGAAGTGCTAGGAAGTAGCAAAGCCCCCGCCCTAATGAAGGCTTAGCAGAGAGGAGGAGGATGGGATGGAAGGAGAGGATACATGCCTGGCAGGCTCTAAGGTTAGGGATGTCAGGCCCCCTCTTGGTCCTGGACTTCTTGATTTCTGCCTCTGTGATCACCAGCATCGAGGATAACAACCTGGGGATCGGAATCACCCTCCTCTAGGGCAGCCCAGTGAGGAGCTCCTGAATGAAAGACCAAGTTTGAGTTCAAAGGCGGCCACAGAAACTTCGCAGGGACATTCAGGCAAGGCGCCTGGAAGGGGTAATGCAGTAGGTGTGAGGCCCAGTGTAGCAGGCTTTCAACCGCTTGTGGCCTACTTAGACACAGAGCCCCCGAGTTATAGAACCCTGCTTCCCCACGGCTAGAGCTCCTGTACCCCTCCGGAACAGTATTTTGGTACATCTACCAGACCAGCGTGTGCCAGCTCTGACTCAGGGCACACCCACTGTCCCACCCAGCGCTGGAAGGCAGCACAGGTTCCAGCGCCCCCGGATCTCCTCTGGGAATAGAGGGAACAGGCCTGGGCCTGGAGCAGTGGGTGTCAAGGTATCACTGGGCCCCTGCGTGGGCCGGATGGCTGTGGGAATCCGAGGGGATTATGTGGTGGTTTGGCAATGCTGTAAGGCAGACTCCACGCCCACTAAAACCTTTGGAGCAGAGGGGCCCTTGTTTTTAGGTGAGTTCAGTTCTGAAGGGGGTGGACACAAGTCGCCAAGCCAGGGCTTTCTTAGTTGCATCTGTTCCTGACCCTCTGGGGTAGACTAGTGGCGTCCTCCAAAGGAAAATTCAGTGAGGACTTCCACAGTCAGGGATGCCCGCCCCCACCCAGGCAAGGCTGAGCTGCTGGTGCCATCTGCAAAAAAAAAAAAAAAAAAAAAAAAAAAAAAAAAAAAAAGTCACCTAGTGACATGACCAGACCTTGGAGCAGATCAAAGGAAGCCATAGGGGCAGCACCCCACTGCCAGTTCTTCCAGCCCAGGACTGCCTGGGGCTGCCTGGGTGAAAGAGCTGGAGACAGTGCTCTATTAATCCTCTTGCTTGTGGGCCACAGCATCTTTGGCCTCCTGCTTAGACCTCCAGGGCCAACAGTCCTGTTCTAACATCAGTATCCAGGCTTTGCAGGCTGTGGATGTGTTGTTGTGGTGCAAATACCAAAGTGCTTGGGGAGGTCTGGAAGCCAAAAGGGCCTCAAAGCCCTGGGAAGAGTTCCTTCCCTGTGGGGCCCAGGAGCCAATGCATATCTACGGCAGGTGGAATTGGGGTAGGGGCACCTGCGGGGTCCCTAAAACAGGCGCTGTAGGTGAATATGAGTGAACAGTGAGGGACAGACTCACAGACAGAGAGAGCATCCCCTGGACACTCACCACTCCCTTCCACAGTACCGAAGGCCAGCAGCTGGCTAGGTCTGCCTGTCTCTTCTTCCATGCCTTCTAATGGCCGGCAATGCAGTCTGTTTGGTCTGCCCTGTCCCCTGCATGGCACCTTCCTCGGCTTAGTGGGTTTTCCTGATGTGAAGACAGGCCTCTGAGGACTCCTAAGTCCCCGGGCAGATGGGAAGGCAGAGTGTGTGCAGAGCAGCAGCAATTACATGCTCCACCCTGAGATGGGGTGCTTTGTGGTAGGAACCTGTCCAGGCAAAGGCCTTATCCGAAAGATCAGGCAAATTACTAGGTAGCCATCAGAACGGAGTCTAGGCACAGCCGTGTGCGCAACAGACACCTTATTAGGCTAATTATGGGCTCTTGGGCCTACTGGTACCGAGTGGATGGAGATATAAACTCAAGGTCAGCCAAGGGAGCAGCACCACGGCTTTCCTCAGGAAGCTAGCTTGCCACCGGTCCTCAGGATGAGACCCACGGCAGAAAGAGGGAAGAAATGGGGGAGGAGGGATTAGGCTATACCACTTTAGAAGTCTATAGACGCCCCCCCCGGGGGGGGGGCTCTGGTTCTCTTCTTCCTTCCAATTCATCTGTAGCCTTCATCTTCTGACATCTTGGATGGTCAGGACCTGCTGGCCACGGACATAGTCTGTAAAAAGGATGACAGGGCCGGAAGGCGGTTAAGAACATTCATTGGATTAGATTCCCAGAACCGGCGGCTCGCAAACCGTCTGTAACTCCAGTTTCAAAGGGTCAAGTGCTCTTAGTGGGCAACAGACACACATGTGGTATGCAGACATACGAGCAGGCAAGAACGCCCACACGCCGAAAAGACTGTCATTTAAAATATTGGCACGATGGCAAAGATGGTGCATGCACAAAGATCAGCCTCGCATCGCACATGTATTTGCTCACCTAGAGCTGGAAACAGATACTCCTGTTTCACGAACTGTGAAATAAGAGAGAACGGTGTGGCTGGCGGATGTTAGGTGATTTGCTAGCAGCTGTCGGAGCTAGAAAATCAAGACGCAGCCTTGGCCCTAACAGGGAGGCAGGCCCAAGAACCACCCACCACGGAAGAGCTGGGTGGGAAGTGGCTCCAGGGAAATGCTGAGAAGGTAAAGTTTGCAGGGCCTCAGCTGAGTGTCTCAGGTTGTCACCAGCAGCAGAAGGGTCCGTTCCACGGGGTGTGGCCACGAACTCCAGGGCTTTTGAGATCTGGTATCTAGGCTCAGAAGGGGCTGCACACCATCATGGGCTTGAGTATCTGTCCCTAGCAGCTCTCTGGGACTTGATGTCATGGGAACACCACCTGCCAGAACATCATAGAGCCTAGAGTGCATGTACTGTACTTATGGGGACCGGAAGGACCCTGTGTCACTCACTCTGTCCTCCGAGTGCGGCCTGATGCCTCTAACAGCAACCCCTCCACCACACTTGGCTCGCCTCCTGCCCTGTAGTTCCTAATCCGGCTTGCACAGAGGCCTGCTGCACCATCTGTCACCTGGCACACCTTCTCCCCTAGCAAGCATGTCATCCTGCCCTCCTCTAAGCCAGCACTTTCCGGGACAGGGTCACCTGGAAGACAGGACTAAGGACCCAGCTACACTTCCAGGAGGGTCCACCAGACTGTGACAAGGCCAAAGTCAGGACCAAACTAAAGGGCCTTGTCAGAGACCCACAGGTCCCCTGGGTATTAAAAACAAAAACAAACAAAAGAAAAACAGATCTGGGGTATCTTTTTTTTTTTTTTTTTTTTTTTTTTTTTAAGGAAGACTCACTCATATCAAGGTCCCTTCAAATGACCTAACAGGCTCAACTGGCCTTGCCATTGCTACTTTCTGTCTTCATGAAACAAAATGAAGAGGCATGGAGTTATTTTATGGTGTTAAAAGTCAGTAGCCATACCTGGCACGTGGGGGAAATAGCCTAGCTCCTTCCTGGGTTTGTGGACTCAAAACCTGTCTTGTGCAATCCCTCCAAAGGTTGCTGATACAGTCTTTAGGGACCTCAAGAGGATTCCTTTCCCCTTCCCTGGGGCCTGTCCCCGACTTTGATGCCTCCTTCTCTTCCTCCTGAGCCCAGCAGCCCCAGGACTTACTACAAAACTCCGCAATGTCTCCTTTTGTCTGACACATACCGGTTAACCATGGCTGTCCTCTCTTTCAATGTCTCCCTCCAGAATTGCGACCTAGGTGTGCAGGTAAACAGGCTCAGAACTCATCCTGGGCTCATAGCCAGGCTGCATCACAGACTAGTCCCCCTGTCTCCGTTCCTTATTTGTCAGATGTAGCAGAAGCTCTGAGATAGAGCAGAACAGGGCACTGTGCAAGCCCTGGACCACCAGAGCCAGACGCTACATGGAGCTGGGGAGGTGTCTACTGTATAGACTCAGATCTTTCCAGACGATACAGGTTGGGAGCCCTGAGCCTCTTGCCCGTTTCACCTAACATCTGTGTGAATGGGACACGCAGGCCAGCTCCCACCAACTAAGTATGCTCCAAGGAGAGCCAAGTCACTCCAGGTGCAAAGGCTCCAAGAGCTGCCCACTTTCCTGGAAGTTCCTCATCCTCCCCACAACCTCACCCTCTCTGTGTGTCCTGTGTCCCCCATTAAGCTTCTCCTTTGCTTCTGAAGCCCACAGACCTTGGTCCTTCCCCTCAGCCTAGTGCCAACTCTATGCCTCTCCTGGCTCTTAGTGAATTGTCCCTGGATCTCCATGACAAAGCCTGAGGTCTGTCCTAGTTTATTTTTGCCACTATAACAAAAATAACTGGGATTGGATGATTGATAAAGAATTGAGGGTTGTCCAGTTTTCAGTTCTTGAGGCTAAGAAGTACGGGTGCATGGCATTGGCATCTGGTGAAGGCGAGCTTGCTGCACCAGGACGTGGTAGGGCATCCTGATGAGACAGACGAGGAACTAGCTTGCTTGTCTCTTTCCCCTCTTTGTAAGGCCACTCATTTGGTCCCCATTATCTTCCAGAGAGCCTTCTTTCAAACAATACTGACAGGAAATTTTCCAATAGATCTATTCTAGAGGCAGTCTTTTGGACCATGGAGAGGGCTGATCCTGCACTCGCTGACAGTGCACCTTCTTTACCCACCCTCCCAGCCATGGCCACAGGTCTAGGCTGTGGTTCATGAGTCACAGTCCCAGCTCTCCTCCTAATGAGCTGCAGTTGGCCAGGCACATTAGTGAGCCTGGATTTTTCTCACCCGGAGACCAGTGCTTCCCACGTGACCAGTGTGTTCCTGAACCCCATGGGTATGTATGTCCTGACTACCTATGAGGGTAGCAGAAGGCTTCCACATTGGAGACATTACTGTGCACAGACGTGGGCAGCCATACTCACCACAAGAAGAAGATAAACACATAGCCTATCATCCCAGCACCCAGGGCTCAGGCAGGAGGATCCGGAATGGAACTGTCACTCTCTGCTACTTGGTTGCAGATGCACTGTAAACCAGCCATCTCCCGCTGCTGCACCAAGACTCTTCCCCATGATGAACAGGCCCAAAACTGTGAACAAAAACAAGAGTACTGGGGCTTAGCAAGAAACCTGACACTAGAGAAATTCCCAGGAATCCACAAGCTAAGACCCCAGCTAAGACCCTAAGCAACAGAAGAGAGGGCACCCGAGCTGGCCTTACCCTGTAGTCAGATTGATGATTACCTTAAAATGTCACCATAGAACCTTCATCCAGCAACTGATGGAAACAGAGGCAGAGACCCTCAGTGGAGCACTGAGCTGAGCTCCCAAAGTCCAGTTGAAGAGTAGGAGTGAGAATATGAGCAAAGAGGTCAAGACCATGATGGGGACATCTACTGAAACAGTTTACTCAAGCTAATGGGAGCTCACCAACTCCAGCTGGACAGGGAAGGAATCAGCATAGGACAGAACTAAACCCTCTGAATGTGGGTGACAGTTGTATAGCTGGGGCAGACTGCGGGGCCAGCCTCAGTGGCACCAGAATTTATCCCTATTGTTGGTGCTGGCTTTTTGGTAACCCATTCTCTTTGGATGGATACCTTGCTCAGCCTACATATAGTAAGGAGGGCCTTGGACCTTCCCCAAAGCAATGTGCCTCACCCTGTCAGAGGAGTGGATGGGGGGGAGGGGGCTGAGGTGGGATGGTGGGTGAAGGGAATGGGAGGAGGGGAAGGAGTGGGAACTGGGATTGGTATGTAAAATCTGGGATTGGCATGTAAAATGAAAAAAGATAGTTTGTTTTCTTTTAAAAAAATAAATTAAAAAAATAAAAGGTAATTCAAGGAAGAAAAAAAAACCAGATTCTTCCTTAAGTTACTTGAGGGTTTGGTCCTGGTGGCAAGAAATGTAACTAGTTAAACAAACAGCCACAGAAAGCTGCTGGCTGGTAGTGAGGGAAGCCCTAAGAGCTTCAGGCTTGCCTATGGGGTCAGGTTCTTCCAGAGCAGGGCAAAGAGCAGCCAGCAAGGCTGGGGAGTGTCCCTAGGGAGCAAGCTGCCAGTGCAGCCTATACCACAAGCCAGGAGGCTGGGTGAGGTAAAGAAGGAAAGATGGGACAAACCCATCCTCAGAGGGCAGCGGGTCCCTGTGTGTGGGTGCTCAGAACTGCTGTGCCAGATGGGATGTCATTCCGAGCCGTGGCAATGGTTATGGGTGACATTTTAAAGTGATTCCTTCAGCTATGCTACAAACAGACCTAAGTCACAGCTAGGCCAGGTGTGGTGACACGGACCCGTAATCCCAACAGTTGGAAAGTAGAAGCCAGCCAGAGCTATCTTCGACTGTTTCAAAAGGCCCAAAACAAAACAGACACAGGAAGGTTACTGTGACCAAGTGCCCATGGCAAGACAACCCCAACCGAACAGCCTGGGGTGTCCCTAGCCCAGGAGCCAGACCCTGAACCCAACTCCCAGACACCCGACTCAACCACTTTCCTCCACTTTGATGTCTTCAAAGGGATTGGTGCACAAATCCTGAGCTGGCTGCATGCAGCATTAAAAAGTTTGTAAATGAATATTTAGTCATTAAAGTTACAACCGCAAAGGCCTAGTTCTTCCCTAAGCTTTTAAATTCAACCTGCCCATGCTTTTGCTTTGTAGAGCTGTTATTTGCTAGGGGCAAGGGAGCTACTCGGCTGTGTTTGGTATTCACATATTTGTTGATGAAATTAAAGATATTAAACTGTATTTGTGCATTTAATTTTTAGCAGCTTTGTATGCCTCCCAGTATTCTCGGTGACAAGAAGAAATAAAACAAACCTCATAAATATTAAAATACAGTGTTCCAGCTTGGTGGTGGTATCACACATCTTTAATTCCAGCCCCTGGGAGGCAGAGACAGGCAGGTGGATCTCTGGGAGTTTGATGTCAGCCTGGTCTTCAGAGTGAATGAGTTTCTGAACAGCCAGAGAAACCCTGCCTTGGGGGGGGGGGGCAAAGAAACACAGTAACCCATGTTCTCCAAGGTTCTACTAATTTATATGAATTTCGATTTTGAGTGGAAAAAAAATCTTAGCTCTAATTGTTCAATCATTACTTTAAAGTTGGGTTCCAAGGCTGGCCTTTGATTCTACCAAACCAGGCTCTCTTAAGCAAGAAAGCAAGACTTGCGCGTCATGTTTAGCAAGATTAAATGGAGGCTCCTCTGCTCATGGCTGGAGAACCGTTCGGTGACTTTTACACTAACTTTCCATTCTCCGCTGATACTATCTAAAACTCAAGCAACCCCACCCAGCCCCCAGTCAGAGGCTAAGACCATCTCACGATTGCTTGACCATTCTCCCATGGGGCAGGAGAGGGCTTACAAGTCACCTTGTTCATCCATTGCTCAAGTTTGCAATGCCACGTGCTTGCAAGTCCCTTCATTCCTGGACCACTTCCCAGCCTTCCTCTTTGTCAGCAGAACCAAGAGGTGACCAAAGTCCTCTGGATGACTCCAGGGGACACCTGCCTGCAGCTGCTTTACAGTGCTAGTCTGAGCCCTCGTAATATGTCCCTGGCGGACTATCTTTACAAGTCAACTATGACACCTGAGTCCTCGCTCACCCAGGACAGATGTGCAGCAGCAGGGTCATGATGGCAGGGACAGGATGGGAGGGTGCCCCAGACAGAGTCTCTGTGGGTACTGAATGCACATCTATGGGAGAAGGTTCCGTTCAAAATTCCTCCATGGGCAGCCTCCTGGAGCCAGAGGTTAGCAAATATAGGCTCTAGTGCTTTGAGAAGTACCCCGTGCACCCCCTCACACATACACCCCTGCGCGTTTCTCTGGCGGCCAGAACTGGTGTCTCTTTCACTTCAGCCTCTTGTGGCACGCGGAGAGCAGTGGGACATTCTGCATGCCCAGGGAAATGGGGTGTGGAGAAGGTCACCCATGAACACTGGTCACAACTGTTGGGGTAGAAGAGCAGAGGCCTTCCTTCAAGGCTGGATACAGGAAGGACAGGCAGGAGACGACTGGCTCCTAATACAGATGCCAGGGCCCAGGCTCACAGCATCCTGTTAAAAGCTCTGAGAAGACAACAGCTAAAGCTGGTACATTCCAGAAGGTAGAGGGGTTCCCCTGAACCAAGACCCTGAGACCAGAATACTGGCTCTCTAGAAGTATAACTTGGGGGACTCTCCTCCTCTTCGCTTAATTTTATCAAATTATTTTTTATATTATTAAGTGCAACTTGATATTAAAACTGGAGATAAAATGTACACCCTCACCCCCAGGGGAAAAATAAAGCAAAAGCACAATAAGGATCATTTTGTATCCATTAGGATGATGTTTTGGAAGAATAGACCACAGCTAGTGTGGGGAACATGAGGGGGCAAGACCTCACAGACATGGTTCATGGCTTGGGAACTGGCCAGGAGGAAACTGTCTGCGAACTCCTCAAATGGTTAACTCCGAGCTATCACGTGACCCATTAAGTCCATGCCCACGTATGTACCTAAGAAGTCAAATGTGTCCACACAAATGTGTGCCAGGAATTTTCTCATAATTCCATTCATAACAGCCCCAGAGGAACGACCCATCATTCACCAGGTATTCTGTGGATCTTTTAAAAGGTATGTCCTTTAAAACCACAAAGATGAGCACTCAGCGGTAAAGGGGGATGGGTTCTGACATGCTACAACTTAGGAGAAGCCAGACACTCAAGGCCGTATTCTGGAATTCTACTGCAGCCCTCAGAGAGGTAAATTCAGGGAGCTAGATCGAGCGGTAACAGAAACGTATGGCTTCTTTTTGAGTATGTTCTGTAGTGATGGTTGTGTCTAGGATATGCTGAAATGCACAGAAACACATGCATAAAACAGTTGAGTTATTATGACGTTCTTGTAGTTTTCTACTACTGTGATAGAAGATTCTAACCAAAAGTAACTTGGGGAGGAAAGGGTTTATTTGGCTTACAGATTCTTGTCACAGACCATCATTGAGGGAAGCCAAGATAAGAACTCAAGCAGGAACCTGGAGGCAGGAACTCAAGCAGAGACCCTAAAGGAAAGGAACACTGCCTGCTGACTTGCTTCCCACTGGATTGCTTAACTATCTCTATTAAATAGCCCAAGTCCACCTGCCTATAGCTAGCACCACGGTAATGGGCTAGGCCTGCTTACATCATTAGCAGTTAAGAAAATGGTCCTCAGACATGCCTACAGACCAGTCTGATGGAGGTGATTCTTTAGGTGAGTTTCCCTCTTCCTGTGTGGCTCAATCTGTGTCAAATTAACAAAGACTATATATATATTATACCACCAGTCCCTCCCCTCTATCTACACCCAAGGACTTCTTTTTACAAAAGCAAGCAGAGGACAAAGACAGGCAGGCAGGCAGGCAGACAAACAGAGAGACAGAGACAGATAGCCAGATGGATAATTTAGCTGGGTATTGAAGTCAGGGTTTTCCACACATGCTAGGCAAATACTTTACCTCTGCAATATATAGTTCTAGCCGTGTGTGTGTGTGTGTGTGTATGTGTGTGTGTTACTTTGTCATTCTCCCATGGGGCAGTGGAGGCAGGGACAGATCATCCTTTATGCATACGTCATGCAAGCTAAATGTCCTGGGCTGTTTAAGGCCCTGAAGATGGGATCTGGCCCCTCCCATTTGAGACTCAGTCATGTTTATCTCAAAAATGTCCTCCAAATCCCTGTGCTAGTCAGGTTAGACATTGACTCTGTGACAAGAGAGAGCGCAACGAAACAACCCATGATTGGCGCTGCTCTCTCAAGGACGGCTTCTGTATGTCTTCAGCACAGGTTACTATCAGTCTCGTGATACAGAGGCAGCGGTAGTAAAAGCAGCCAATGGGTGCTCCTCCATGGAGAAGCCAGGGAGGCCTTTCTTTTAGAAGTGTCTCGATAATAACTCCAATGTGGAAGTTTTGACAGGGCTTCCTTGGTTGATTTCTAGGGGATTTGTACATGTGTAGCTATTTATCTGCTGCTTTGGATCGGCTATATATTGTCATTCGAAACCAGAAGCGTGGTTATGCTGGATAGTTTCACGTGCCATATAAAGACTGTCTTGTGTTTTCTGTAAGCCCTAACTGGGTATTTACAAAACCTCATACTTAAACAGCGTGACATTACCCTGTGTGTATAGTTTGGAGTCACCTTTCTTAAGGTGGTATTACACAACACTGTTGTGTAGGTCAAGTGGCTGTCTTCCTAAGACCGCCTGCACCTGCTTATAAAAAGACCACGGCAAATGGTTTTGTCGAGTGTAGGTGTTCCTTCAGCAAAGGAGGGAGTAAGGAGGTCACTGGCCCCCTCCCATCTGAGTGCCCAGCCTCTCCTCCCAGCCAGCTGTATGCAATTCTCTTCTCATCACACACACCCTCATGCTTTTCAAAAGGATATAAGCTGGAAAAAAAAAATGAGGGGCAGGGAAATTAACCCATATAGCTATGGGGACGCCTTCATGCATGCTGGGTAAAGATTTTCCGATGTAATTGCTCTTGGGTCATTCAGGCTCCTCAGTGACCATGCCCAATAAACTCATTAGTTCCCCAGTGTGAACTCTGAAAAAACAAAGGGAGTGGCTGTCTGAATTGAATCTGGGAGATGCGGGGATCCTATGGGGACCCACGATGGGGGTGGTCTCTTTTACCACGAAGCTGAGCTCACCGCAAGCGGACAGCAACCGTGGAGTTTGCCACCATTTTGGCTGATGACCTCACGATGATCGAAGTAACCACGTGACTTGGCACTCTTTTTGGCTAATGATTTCAAAGAGACGGCCATTTACAAAGGTTTTCAACTGCTAAGTCATCTCTCCAGCCCATGTTTTGTTTTAACTTTGACACAGACACAGTTTTGGTTTTTTTGTTTGTTTGTTTTGAGACAGAGTTTCTCTGAGTAACAGCCCTGGCTATCCTGAAACTCAAATTGTAGACCGTGCTGGCCTCGAACCCACAGAAATCTGCCTGTCTCTGCTCCCCAAGAGCTGGGATTAAAGGTGTGCCCCACCGCCCGGCTGCCGCAGATTTTGTATGATGTATTTACTGGCTCCTCTTGGGAGTTTTTCCAGCCCTGTGGCTTGAACACAGGCTGGCTAACAAGGGGAGCAAATGCTTGGGATCTGTGGTGGCCTAGGGCTGGGTATCGATAAGACACAGACCCTAAGAGGGACTCAAGAGATAAACTGCCAGGGGCCACACAAACTGCTGTCAGTGGGCATCTGCTGCAGCCAAGGTAGGACCAGCCTACTGGGTAGGAGGCTGGAGGAGGCCCTGCTGAATCTTAATCCCCGCTCTTTCTGCCTGATGTCTCCACACTTTTTTGTTTTGTTTTGTTTTTCGAGACAGGGTTTCTCTATGTATCAGCTCTGGCTGTCCTGGAACTTGCATCATAGATGAGGCTGGCCTCGAACTCATGGAGGCATGTGCAACCACTGCCCGGCATCTCCAAGCCTATTCCTCCTTTGCTCTACACTAGTCTGCTCTGGTCCTTGCCTCATGGCATGCTGGGTACCCTGGCTTTTGCTTTTACCTTTCAGTTACAACAGAAAGCGGGGGAAGAGAAGAACAGCCCAATGCTACCACCCTCTGAGCCTTTTTGTTATTTCTGTTTGGTGCTCTCTAGATTACTGGATCTTAAGTCTAATGGACATGTGGTGAATTTCAAATAAGTCACTCAAGCATAATCTATATCTAAATATACAAGCCATATGCATATGTTATTATGTACAATAAGAACACACATGAGATCAGGGAGAGACTACCCTTTCTAGATCACCTGGAGCAACACATACCTTCCTCTCCCTTCCACCTGCCAGAAATTTTCAAGGTTTCTATCTGACTAAGAGACCTGCTACTTTCTCAGTAGCTGAGATGCACCGGGGTCCCACTCCCCTCTACAGGACAGGAGAGCTCCCTGTAGTTTACATCACTACATACAGCATGACCATAAAGCCATCATTTAGGTTTGGGGAATAGGAAAAAGTTATTTCTTCTTCACACAGGCACCTCTCGCCTGGATCTGCCCATAGACCAGCAGGGTCCATCTCTTCAAGGGCAGAGATTCTCACCTTGATCCATCCTACATATGAGGTTAAAAGGAAACTAATAGACTTCTCATGGTCCCCATTGGCTGGGCTCCTGGATAACTGGAGCAAATAAAACCCCCAAACACTCAGGGAGAACATTAGTCTTTTTCTCCACCTACAAAACTTTTCTGTAGATAAGAGAGGAATTCCACCTCACTCACATAGCATGTTCCAAGGATGGCATTGCAGGACTGTTTTCGTTCTAAAGCCTTATCATCTGTAAAGTTCTTATCGTGGTCCTTACTTACTTACATCAACCCTCCTCTGGTGGCTCTAACTGATGCCCCTTTTACATCAACCGTTTTTCCATCTTGGAAGCAGTTAGAATGGTCTGCATCTCCAAGACCCTTAGCAGCAGTTAGGATGACCTCTGAGAAGGGGGAATAAGGACACTAGTAGTTAGACGATCCTTGATAAATGTACGGCTGGGAGAGGTAATAAAAAAGGGCAAATTTCCAAGATACCTGGCTTCTTCCTCATCTGAGACAAAAGTCTAGCAACTTACAATGAAAGCCAGGCAGGTCCCTCCCTGTTTCCTTGCCCCTTCTTCTGGCCTATAGGTCCCCCTGCTAGTGCCAATAAGTTCAAGGCCAAATCGGGACACCACAGTTGTGGGCCAATCAGCTAAAAGGTCAGTTTGTCCTTGCTCAAACTGACCAATCCAAAATTAGGAGGACAAAGACCATTCTTCTGTTTGGACCCATGGTAAGAAAACCCACAATGTTCCCATTGGACTAGCCACCATAGCTCCCCAGGTTTGGAGCCTGGCCCAGCTGTAGCAAGGAAACTTTAGAACAGATCTACCCGATTCAAGATCAGCTTGACAAACAGAACCAGACGTCCTGACCATTGCCAGCTGACTTGGGCTCTCCTCTAGGGACCATGCTCTTCCATCCCTATGGTTCAAAACTGGTTTGAGATGGGATACAAAGACTTGGGGCTGCAGAAGCTTCCTCCTCTGCTGGGCTCTTGGTTCCCTCCCAGTCTGGCTCTTCCCCTTACCTACTTCCTCTTTAGTATAGTCATACTTACTTGTTTGTTTGTTTGTGTTTTTTGGAGACAGGGTTTCTTTGTGCAGCCCCTGGCTGTCCTTGGAACTAGCTTTGTAGACCACACTGGCCTCAAACTCATACAGATCCTTTTGTTTCTGCCTCCAGAGTGCTGGGATTAAAGGCACGGGCCACCATCATCACCCAGCTCATACTTACATTGTTACCCTATCTTTTAAACTACTTCGAGAAGTTCCTCCTGGATCTCATCACCACCATCACCTGGTACAGACACAAAACAAAGTATAAAACTCTCACAGTCACTCTAGCCTGGTGAACCCCCAAAGGACATGTCCCCTGCCTGCAGAAAGTAGCCGGAAAGAAAACAGCACCCCACCCACACACTGAGACAATGGGGATGTTCTATCTGGAACTCACCAAGGCCAGCTGGCCTGGGACTGAAAAAGCCTGGGTTAAAACCGGACTCGCTGAACATAGGGGACAATGAGGACTACTGAGACCTCAAGAACAATGGCAATGGGTTTTTGATCCTACTGCACCTATTGGCTTCGTGGGAGCCTAGGCAGCTTGGATGCTCACCTTACTAGACCTGGATGGAGGAGGGTGGTCCTCGGACTTCCCACAGGGCAGGGAACCCTGATTGCTCTTTGGGCTGACGAGAGAGGGGGACTGGATTGGGGGAGGGGGAGGGAAAGGGGAGGCGGCGGTGGGGAAGAGACAGAAATCATTAATAAATAAAAAAAAAGAAAAAAAAGAAAACAGCACCCCCACTGTTTATATTTTTAAAGGGTATGAAATAAAGGAAAATGCTTTGGGATAATCCTTCTATAGACTGTGTAAATTATTCTGTGACTGGTTTAATAAAAAAGCCAACTGGCCAATAGCTGGACAGGATAAAAAAGGCTGGGCAGAAAAAACCAGACTAAGGACACTGGGAAAAAGGGCAGAGTCAGAGGAGTCGCCAGAGCCAGAGTTGTTGCCGGACAGATACAGAGAAGAAACAAGATGAGAGAGAGAGGCAACACCACATGGCAGAATGTAGACTAATAGAAATAGGTTAAATAGTAAGAGCTAGTTAGTAATAAGCCTGAGCTATCGGACCAAGACTTTATAATTCATATTAAGTCTCCATGTCAGTTATTTGGAAACTGGCAGGCAGGAAAGAAAAGTCTGTCTACAGAAAAATCACCCCCCCCACACACACACACAAAACAGGATCCTAAAATGAGACCAAGGAAACCTGCCACCCACAGCACCCCTGGAAACAGCTGGCCTGACCATGTGCCCCAGAGCCCAGGAGTTGCAGCTAATTTAGAGTCCTACCCTACAGTTTTGAAAAGCAGATTGTCCAGAAGAAGTCCTTGGATCTGGACTCCTGCTCCTGACTCTCAGTTACAAAAACTATGCTCAGATACCACCCCATGCTGTGGGGCGGGATCTTGGGGACCCACCTCCCAGAACAACTGGCTCTCTCCATAGAGGCAGATCTGAACTCTCATTCTTTAATTTCCCCTGGTGTTTATTTCATGCATTTTCTCAGACACCTACTACCACGAACAACCTTGTTTGCCTGCTGCCTCGTGTCTGTGAAGGTGAGCTCCTGGCAGAGGCACCTGGACCAAGGTTTAGTGCACACCCTGTGGTGGTTTTATACAGCTGCTGAAATTCCTCTCCGCGGGCAGGAGACACAAAGACAGGGTCTTCCATGGCTAGTTCTTGTTTCTTGATGCGTGGCTGTTTCCTCATCTGGAGGGCAGGTGGCTGAGGGGAGGAAATGAGTGCACAGACCCAGGACCCGGAGCTGTTACTAGCACACCTTGAGTGTCATTTTGGTCGCTTATGGCTACCCTTAGGGCCGCCCCAGCTGGAGTCTGCCTGGTGCCTGCCTCTGCTTCCCGCCTCTGCTTCACGGGTTCTCTTGTGTCTAGGAGGCATAAGCAGTTGCTGTGCAACCCCAAAGCACAACAGGGTTGGCTCTGGGGAACAAGGATCAGCAGACTACTGGTGGCCAAACACCCAGGAAGTGTAGAAGAAGGCTGAAAAGCCATGTCACCCATCCTCAGGCCAAGAAACCCTAAAGAGACTGGGGATAACAGCTTTCACGGTACAGTAGGGATTCATAGAAGACCTCCCTTGTGAGGAGCATGGGAGCTGAGCCTGCAAGAAGTGGGGTACACACCCCAACATCTACATTAGAAAGTGCTCAAGTTCCTAGTCCCAAAAAGCTGGTGACTCTTCCTGTAACACAAACTCCGGATTCTCTCTAGAAGACGGTTGAGCAGGATGGCTCAGTGGATAAGCATGCCTACTGCCAAGCCTGACTTTGAGTTTGAGCCCTGAAACCCAGAGTGGAGAAACAACTGAAAGCTCTTCCCTGACCTCCACAGGAACATACAAGAGGATGAGAGGGAGAAAAAGGACATTTTAAAAGGAAAGGGCCTGTGGGCCAGCGTCCAGCTGGTGAAGGCTAGCCAAGGCCCCAGGTAGAGACATGGGCATGCCGCTCTTGTTCCAGCGAGAGCTGAGCCCAGAGTGGCAACCGTGAGGTGGTGTGGCTTCCTCTCAGTGAAATGGAGGTGACAATTTACTCCTGTCCAACCCAGTGTGTAAGCCTCGCTGGACACACACACACACACACACACCCCACTCAGAACTATGAGGAACAGGCCACCTCTGCTTCGGAACCAGACCTCTGGAAGTATCTAGTGGGGGAAGACTGCACAAAGTCCAGGGTCTGGAGTCCCTCACTTTGAAACAAGGACTGACTACAGAGTTTCCACAATGTCCCCTCCTGGGATCACTCCACTCAGAGGCCGAGAAGACAGAGCTGCGGTAGCCTCGGGAGAGCCTGAATCACAGGAAGGGACTCATCCCAGGGCCACCTGCAGACCTGGAGGACAGAAGGTATGTGATCAGGGAGCAGAGGACCCTGGAGGGAATGGTTCCAAGGACTGGTGGGGTGAGGCTCAGGGACGGACAGGCTACAGGCTTGCTGAATCAGGAGGGCTCGGGCAGTTAAGGCAGGCCAGAAGGGGCGGAGGCTCAGCCCTCCTCCCAGGGTGGTCTGTGGCAATGCCTGAAACTTAAAAAGTGCTGAACTCCAGAAACGTCTCAGAGGTGAAGACTCCTGCTCCCAAGACTTCCGAGCTCCATCCTCCCTGATCCACAGTTGTCCTCTCACCAGCCCATGTCCCCCACACAAAGTAACTTAAAAAAAAAAACCCTGTAAACTTACAGACACCGCCAGCAATTAAGGTTACCCAAACAACTTCCTGTTTCAATCCTGAGCAGCTCTTGAGCAGGGTGACTTGACGGTTACCTCAGTGGATCAAACAGGAAGGTGGGCACGGTGACATGCCCATCTCTACTCCCAAGAGGCTACAGCGTGTACTGTGGGAACCAAACTGACGGGGGGGGGGCGGGGGGGGCAAGAGCGGGCCTGAGGCACTCAGTTCCGATGCTGGGAAGCAGGGTTCAGGATCTCCAGGAACCAACCGCTCACTGTCTGCCCTAGGGAACCTACCGCTGTGCTGGGGCTGAGGCTGGGGCTCGCCCATGAGGAAGTAGTCTGAGGCCCTAGACAGTGTGCAGGCAGTTATGGGGAACGGCAGGCCTTGAGGATCTCTCCCCGCCCCCCTGCCCAGGAGTCTTTGGGTCTCCAGCCCAGCTGCCCAGACGTGAATCACGAGCCTTCCTTCCGGATTTCCACAGAAAACACCAGAGGGCATGCAGTTCAGAATTCCAGGAATTTACAAGAGCTTTGGGAAGCTCTGGAAGGGCTTCCTGGCCTGGTCCCTCTGCCCTTACTCTCCCCCTCCTTTAGCTCTGACTGTCCCTGGGAGCCCCTGAAAGACTGAACAGGAAAGTACCCCTTCTACCCCCAAAGACAGACAAGACAGACAAGAGAGACAAGAGAGAGAGAGAGACAACATACACACACACACACACACACACACACACACAGAGAGAGAGAGAGAGAGAGAGAGAGAGAGAGAGAGAGAGAGAGAGAGATCCTTCTGTCTCCCATGGCCCAAGAACTGTTACCTACTCAGACTCTCCCCAATTCACCTCCGTAGCTCCATTCAGCCCTCCATAGTCCCCTAAAAGCTACTTGACAGCCCTCTATGACTTCCCCACAGACCGTCACCCCACTAGTCCCCACAACCGCTCACCCAACTACATCCCCTTAGCTTCCTTCCCACAGCCAACCAACACAGCCTCTTCAGGCTCCTGCCCCAGACAAGGACTCTGCCCATGACAGGAGTCCTTGCCTGTATCGGCAGCCCAGGGAAGGACTGAACAGGGGCAAGGTACCACATAGAGGGGTCCAGTACCACACAGAGGGGCCCTGGCACTTCCTGGGGTCGCGAAGGCCAGGAACAGATGGAACGGTGGGGCAGGACCCGACAGACTGGCCCGGGTTAAGAAACGTGAGATAAATGTGACTAGAAGGCAAAGGGCTTTCAGCTTCAGGAAAACAGGAGAAAGGAGAAAGCAAACACAGGCTCATCCTGAGAGAAGACAGAAAATCAATCGAGTAAGTTCACCGTCCACTAAGGAATTCCCGAGAGAGGAGATGAAGGGAGAGGAATTCACAAAAATGATAAGAAGAGCAATTAACAAAAATGATAGACAGAAACACTTAGGGCTGGACCAAGTCTTCGGATGGGATGCAGGTGAAGGAACGACCTTAGAGGCGCGTGCGAGAGCACAAGGCAGCAGTAGGATGGTAAGTGTACCTTTGTTACTCAGACTGAGGACCCGGGGCATCGGACTTCCTGTCGGAAGCAACGGCTGTGCAATAGTGAAGATGCAATGGTGAACCTCATTCTCTATATAGTGGGCCCAACTGTCAGCTGAGTATGCAGCGGAATAAAGGTGTTTTCAGATTTTTAAGGTCTCAAGCACAAATAGTAAACTAAAACAAATCACACCTCCTATATGCCTTCTTGGGGGTGGTTACTGAAAGATGTATTCCAGTAAAGGGAGAAAGAAAGTTAAGCAAGGGAAAGAAAGATGTGGGGTTGGGACTACTTACTCAGTGACCCGCCCAAGCAGGTGGAGTCCCAGCCCAACTGGGAGTGGCCAGATGGGGGTGGAAGGCAGGGGAAGGGGGGGTGGCACAGAAAAGTTGTGGTGGAATACGCTGCCTAGTAACAAGAAAGGGACAATTCAGAGCTAGAGAGAGAAAAATGTGGGCAACAAAACCTTGCTTCTCAAAGTAGGCTCAAAGTAGGCAAAATGTCATAGCTTTCAGCTCCTC